AGCGCGGAGGGGTAGAGGGATGCCGCGGACCACCCGAGAGAGAGGTTCAGGACTGGTTGGAAACCGGCGCGGCGGCGCACGCCGTATTCGTTCGGGGGGTCCCTTATCTTATTCGCTTACCCGGGGACCGTCCGAACCGACGAGACCTGTCCGCGAACCTTTCGCTCTCGCGAGGGCTCCCCGACATCCTATTATCGCTCGGCAGCTACATTTTTCCGAGGTCAATCCTAGGTGCACACGTACGAGAAACACTTTCATCGTGTCAGGATTTTCGTACTTAATTTGCGAAATTTTAAAGTTTCAAGCACTGATCGAAAAATCAAACGACGCGACAGATTTCTTTCTCACAAAAAAAAGAAAGCAAAAACACAGTATCCTTTCGTACCAGTTCTTCTCCACCGAACAGTCATCACGATGGTTCGTAAATAACCGAGACTCATTAGCCGCGGAATCAATTTCGCCGAACGCCGCGGGTTTATTATCGCTCCGCGGATAACGCGCCGAATGTTTTACGACTTGTCGAGTATCTTAGCGGCTCGCGTTGGCGCTTCGATAATCCTTTACCCTGGAATTCGGGGCCGAAGTGCATAGCCGCCGTTCGAAGGAAAAGGACTCCCAGCGAAGGGAGAAAAAAAAGGCGCGGGGACAGGGGAGGGAGTGAGAGAGTCTCATTGTGAGAAGGGTATACGTGTACACAGGAGACGTGAGATCCGTTGGACCCGCATGCGGACCTTATTGTGTCCCGAAAGGGCATATACAGTAGAGGTACCTTAATGTCGGCACGGATGAAAGCGTGGGCCCTCCTTTGTCTTTTGCTCGCGAAGCTGCCACAGCAAGTAGCGTGCTCTGCGGGTAGCCCTGCACCATTCCAGGACTACCGTTCCAGGTTTCTATCTTTCCCTTTCCATTCCCCTTTTCTTCTCTCGCATATCTCGCGAGTCGCGAGAAGAAACGTATAAAAAAATGAACGGTAAGGAGCAGTAAGGGAGTTTCGACACTCGATTTCAGAATCAAATTCAAATTTTCCTTCTCATACGAGGCGGCGTCACTATTTTACACCCCAAAGGAGTTACTATAAATAATTTTATATCGCAATAAAAATTGCTTCTACGGCCATTAATCGTTATTGCTGATTACGGTAAAATTTATATATAATATAATTTAAGTATTTATGGTGATTATGTAATTATGCAAAATTTATATCAAACCGATACGAAATCTCGGGACAGTTGCTCCCCTTAAAAGCCACCCAGAAGAGAACGCGAGAACGCGGGTCGTGCAAGAGCGAAACGGCACGATCGGCGAGCTCCTTCTGGGAAGAGTCCTCCTCGGCGATGGTACCACGGTTGGTACCTTCGGCATAAAAGGCGGATCCCCGGCGCATTATTAATGTCAGGACGTCACAGGGCATGTAGCGCTGCATATTCCGTTGCATGCTCAGGCGCAAAGACAATTCGCGGCGACGACGACGGCGATGACACGATGACGACGACGACAACGACGACAGGCTGCCACGGGGACACAATATATAATTCCGCGTTCGCCGATAATTATTATGACTTCCCAAGTTTCCTGCCGCACAATGAGTCTCGTCGCTGCCGGTTATTTCGAACTTATCCTTTCCGCGCGCGGCCCCTCCTCTCCGAACCTCGTCCCCCGGACAGAGACGAGCCTGTCTCCACGTCGCCGTCGTCTTCTACTGGTAATAAAGTGACATTAGCCGGCATGCGATTCCGCGATAAACTTTCGAAATTTATTCGTCCAACCCTCTCGATGTCCCTTCCCCCCTACCGACGCGGCGCATCACGCTCCCTCCGTTCTACGAACGATTTAAGTTTTTCGAATTCTCCGGTAAATGTTACGTCAAGCTAATCGGGCGCTATGGCTGGCACGTAAAACATGCGGCTTACGAGTCGCATGCGGCTCGCCAAACAAAGTGGCTGCGGCGGGCCGACTCCTCAAGTTTCGCATTTTCCTTCCATCAACACCTCTCTCTCTTGCAGCGGAATACATCTGAGATCCGTGTACGCGATTGTCCCTTTTCCCAAGCTTAGATATGAAATATTTCACTGTCACGCCGCGGTTTATACGATTTTGCTTACGTCAAGTGGATTAATTGCATTTTTTGAAAGCGAGCTAAATGTCGTAACAAGTCTCGACGGTGAGTCGACGGCAACGGCGGTATCGATTAAACCGCGACGCTAGAAAATTCTCTATTCCCTTTCGAGGACCTAATTTATGTGGCTCTCCAACGAGCTAAGTTTACAGTTTGGCGGCTAGCAGTACCACTCGACCTCCGGCAGAGCGTGACAGCGCCAGGTTTAAAGCATAAAGCAAATTATAACTGGGAAAAGCAGGATGTCGTGCAAAGCGGCACACCTACGCATGTATATCCCTGGCTACACACATACGAAAATCGGGGGTATCATGACTAATTCCCATCGAGTCGTTCCATCCTGATTTGCCTAATTAGGGATGCGCATCGAAGAACGGATCGTAAATAACAGATAATTGCCTTGATATTTCGTCAAGAACATATTTCATTTAGCGTAACGTGTATAAGTGCGATTCTTTTACTGAAACGTGGCCTTTTAAAAATATAGAAATTATGGATCTAAATTCTTATAACCTTGTAAAAAGTAAGTAAAAAAAAATAACAAGGGCACAAAATAAAGTAGAAACTTATGCTTTCTAACTTTATTCTTTCTGTCGGCAATTAATTATATATATTTATCTATTTGTTACTTATAGTAAAATAAGTCAATTTCAATTCTACGTCGCTATTGCACTGCATAATACGTAACATTGTTCAATGACATTAAAAAGTGATGATATATTCAACGAGGGAATCTTGAATACTCTGGAACTGCTTTGATTCGTTTCTTCGTAAGAACGGAAAAAAAAAGAACGTTCGCGTGCTTAGTAATTTTCGATTTGTGACGCGATGTCACGGAGGATGAGACTCGGGAGGGGACGCGTCCATAATTCCGGAAGGCGACGACGGTTCGTGCTGGCCTTCCGGTGTATTCCTGGAGACGTCCTGTCCATCTTTATGTCGTTCTCGCGGACCTGACATTACTCACGCAAATTTGACGTTAACATCGCGGAACATTTAATCCGCCGTTCGTGCAGCTCGAAATGGCACGCAATCGTCGAATATTTCGCGACGTTCCAGCATCATTGTCGCTTTATGCACACTTCAGCCGATGTTATAATTACTCAAACTCAAAACATAGTTCGGCATCAAAATATAGGTAAATTTAACATATCTTTCATAGAATCCAATCGTGTAATATAAGATACACAGTAATACGAAGACAAAGTATGATAAGACGATTTTAAGATCAAGAAAACTATAGCGCCTCAGCGAAACAGTAAACGATTTCGTTGAATTGTGTCAAACGAGAACTGTCAACCTCAAGTAACGTACATAATAATTAATATAAAAATTTGAATGAAACTACGATGTCACTTTCGCCACGTCAGACAATTTTTTACAAAAAAAAAACATTATAATGTTATAGAATTACGTGTACAATGCTGTGCAGATCGTATCATTGGCAGCATTTGTTAAGAACGTATAAGATGCCAATATCTTATCGCTACAGATAGAATACTGTGTATCTTATATCGCTACAGATTGAATAATATATATATATGAAAACGGCGGTTGGACGCTCGACATTGAACGAAATTACATTCTCGTCGCATTATACTAACGAAATGTGATTATGGCCCGGCCGTCCCGCTGTTTTTCGTAGACTGGTACGACCGAGGACGGTACGGGACACCGCGCATTGGCGAAGGCAAATCTAATTGTTTAGAAATTGCACGGATCGCGAACAATTAGCTGCATGCACGCGTGCAGGGTTCGAAATTACCGGCGACTCCGTGATCGTCAAGCTTATTACCGGCCGGCGCACATAAACGGTTGAGTAATTTAAATTAATATCATAGCCAAGAAACCGCTAACGATCGGAATGGCTTTCTCGGCGAGGAAACGAGAGTCCGCGTCTCCTTTTCACCTGCAGTTAAATTTGCTCGCCCATTCGGCGCAACGCGGCGTTTATACGTGAGAATTGATCGCGCAATATTTACGATCCGCGATTGATTTTTATGTCCTTTCGTCGAAAAAAAAATCACATAAATTAACGTTTGCAAAGCAATATTTAATTTCAACCCGTATTAACGAGTTAAATGTCGATGGATAAATCTGCCGTTTAAAGCAAGAATGTTCTTTCGATACATGTCATGCCTGCACGCAAATTTATTTATAAAGTACATAGATTTTTTCAAATCGATTCTTTATACATTCTTTAAAAAAGAGATGTAATAATTATATTAATATGAAATAAAGATTAATGAGCTGACGATCCGACGAAAGCGACAAATTGCATGACGTCGCGTCGAGAAATGCGTGACACGCGTTGAGAAATTATCCGGAAAACTTTTTAAAGTTTGACGAGATAAGTAAAACGTCGACGAAACTTCGGAAAACTTTAATAAGACCGAGGCTCTACCGCGAGACGAAGGAGAGACAAACGCGATGGGTGACGGGTCGATCTCTCTAATTTCCAAAATTCGCACGACAGTTAAAAATCCAACGAGAGCAATCGCGGGCGTGTGTGCGTGTGTTATAGCGAGACAAAAGTCGCTAGAACGGTTGACGTTAACGACCAGGCATCACGAGACGTCGCACGACGACAAAACGAGATTTTCGCGAAACTCTACTAAATAAATCTTAAGGACAGGCATAATCGCGGTTGCGAAAAACGCTGCACGAACACGATCGGTAGGAAATTAATGAATATCGTATGATGAATCGCGCGGGAACACGCATTAGTCAACTCTCTAAGCGTACACGCGGATTTTTAACACAATTTGATGCGTGAACCAAGATAATCGTCGAAAATAGTTACACATTTAACTAACCATTATTGTAACTTAAATTGTTACGCATTTAATATGCGCGTAACGATAAACGTGTTATAAACACTCACCACTAAACTGCTCTTGCCATGCCAGGGCTCCACAGAGAAGCGCCAGAGTCTTACCACTGCCAGTAGGGCTTTCCAAGAGACAATTCTGCTCCTTAGTACATCCTACAATGAGCTGCACACATAATATTCAACATAATTAATAACGTAATGAAACTATGATGAAAGAGCACCGACATTGATTTAATCACACAATCATAGTACTTACACTATTCATTACTGCCATCTGACATGGATATGGTTTGACAGGAAACTTAACTTTGACTCCAGCTATCATTCTTTCATGCTGTATTCTAACTTGAGGCGGTGAATCATCTTTCTTAGGGCTCAAGTACATGATCTCATCTTCACTGCAGCTTAAGTCGTCAGAGCTTTTCAAATCTTTCATTAGTTTTTGTCTCTTGTTAGGTATCTCTTCAGGCATCGCGTTTCTCGTCCCACTGCTCTCAGGAAATACATTTTGATGCAGTATATCAGTAGCGAAGATTGACTTATTCCAGTTAAACATTGACTGGTTTTTAGAAATATTTTCAGAAACAACATTAGCCATCGTAACATCTTCCTCACTACCTAAATCATCTGATATGTCATGTTTCGAATTACATTTGGCAACATCTGTCACACTATTCGAAACGTTAGCTGCTTCATGATTTGTTACATTCATGCACGCCTTTGTATTTTCCTCTATATTCAGCGAATCAAAGCTGTCATCATCTGATATTTCTACTGGATCATTAAGCGTGCCTTGTGCCCGGTTGCAGTAGCCGCTTCGCTTCAAAGACAACCTCCTCATGCTAAAAGAATACAAAGACAATGAATAAACACGTGAAACTTTGAAGCATAATATCTAGCAATACTGAAAGCTTTCGAAACGTTAAATCTCTGCGACGGAACTCAAAGCTGAGATCAACGAATAGCTTGGAGAATTAAGGTAGGCATTGCTCTCTGTCAAGGCAGGTTCACGTCGCCACGCTTGGACCACAAAGCTAACCTACAAAACGCTCGTGACACGTCGGTACCTTGAATCTTCGAGCCACTCGTCGAGTCTGGCTTTAAGCAGCGCGCATACAAATAATCCTATCACAGCAAAGATAACGCAGATTGCGATCATTACTCGACACCTGTGCAACGTAAACAGCCTCGCTGTGTGTACACATGCGACACCTTCCCACCGGTTGCTCTGTCCTAACCTCGTAACTAGCTCACCGGGCTCGCCCCCTCTTCCTCTCCAAAATGGACTACGGAATCTTCTTTTACTACCATTCGTATCTACCCGTTCACCGTACGGTAACTACTCGCGCGAACATTTCGACCTGTCAAAGCAATCTCATAGCGAATAAACGATCAAAACAATCTCGGGTCCCGGCGCGAACGACAGGGTCACGTGATTCGTTCAAAGGTGCGCGCCCGTCGCGCGACTCGCGCGTCATTTTATAAATATTTACTCGACGTCGTACAAAAATGTTTAAATAGCATCAGACAACGCTTCAATAATATTTACGATGCGCTTGTTGCGTACGACGTGTCGCCTCGTCGAAAAGTTTTCGTTCTATTCGCGTGCGCGCGCGCGCGGCTTAAAAACTGACCAATTTTCCGGGGTCCTAAACAGTTAAAGCACGGACGCTGTTGCAAAACTGATCGAACTTTCCGGGGTCCTAAACTGCAAGGGCACGGACGCTGCTGCGAATCTTGCATTCCGCGATAATGGCTGTAGCGGGTGGTCGCGCGCGGTGAAGCGGGACGGGACGATCGGATTTTGTCTATTTACGCCTCTCGGAATTCGTCGCGTTTGCGTCGCGGGGTGTATTATGCATCTTAAGATCTCGGGATCAGTGGACGCACGGTCGCGGAAGCTGCGCGGAAAAGCCGAGAGCGAAAAGCGAGGTGAGTATACATACAATCGTCAATCATTGTAAGAAAGAAACGAGGCATATACCATATGCACGCAGGCTCTATCATACGTTCTATAATCGTGTTTATGTTACGCTGTATTCAATGGGCCAATTCCTTTTAGTGACACAAGTCGACACAAACATCCTATCCTATCCTTCTTAGCATTCAATGAATAACAATGACAGAACGACACTTGTGTCGACTTGTGTCACTAAAAGGAATTGGCCTAATGTTATCGTAAATATTTTCAGTCCGCGGTATTGACGGCAACGGGTAGTCGCGCGGTGGAAGCGGGACGATCGGAATTTATTTACGCCTTTCGAAATTCATCGAGGTTGCGTTCGCTAATTAAGTGTCGTGTGCTCCGACGAGTGTCTTATGCATCTGGTTCTCGGGATCAGTGGACGCACGGTTGCGGAAGCTGCGCGGAAAAGCTGGGAGCGGAATGGCGGGGTGCAGCGAGGTGAGTACAATGTACAATCGCCAATCACTGTAAGAAAGAGACGAAGCATATCATATACTCATGCAGGCTCTATACGTTCGTCGTATGCATGGTACGTTTAAACTGTGTATCTAAACGTGCTTTGACTTCGAATTCGAACCTGTGCTCTATAATATGTATATTATTAACTTTTGTCCTATATGTATATCCTATATACTCTCATATTACTCTATATTATCATAAATATGTATATCGCGCGAGAAACGTCACATTTTTACGAGAATAACAGGGGAAAGCCGAGTTCTTCCACATAATTATTCGTTCGAAAATCCGAGGAGACAATTCGAGGCGGGATTTGTCTTCAGAAGCATTAAACCTTCGATTTATTACATGTCTCTCGGGTTTCGAGAGCCGGCGCCTAGTCAAAGCCGGCGACGTCGACCGGAATCAAAACTCACGGCAGGCCGCCGCGCGCGCGGAATACAGAAGGCTCTCGCTGCCATGCCCTCGGAGTAGCTCCGACTTCGCCGCCGTGAATCCTTATCAAATCGTAATCCAAAATTCCCACGCGCGCCGCTCACGCACACGCGGACTGTGCGCGGCGCGGGCGAGCGCGCGCGTATCGGGAGCGTGAACCGGGTATCAAAGGGGGGCCCCGTCACGTATGCGCGCCAGACATGAAATTGCTCGCTCGTACCTCACTTTCAGCTCACGTGCCGTACCAAACAGTTCCACCGGCTTCTTGCACTTTCACACGGTTACGATGGAGATCTTAACGGTCGCGCCGGCGTAGGATGACGGACATATTCGCCGAGGATGCTGCATCTCCTCGGCGGAGTTTTCTCCGCCATTAACGACGGTGTGCGAGATCCCTCGAGACACTTTTCTCACGTTCCGCAAACGCGTGCACGTGAACGAAGTAAACGTAACTCCGGTAACAGCGCGATATATGTAAATCGTCAACAACGTTGATACACCCCGGAATATCGCGTTTTGTTATCCTAACGAATTTCGTAGTCGAGAAAGGTTCGCGCCGCTCGCGGAAGTTTACTCGCTGGACCGTGAGTTATGCATACTCAGGGTGATACCCATAAAACACGACGAAGGGTTCGCCGAGTTATTATGGCGAAACGCGGCAAATTGCGTGTAACACCCTTCGTCTCAATCAGACGACGCTGAATTAAATTTGGGCGCTAAAAGCGAAGTCGATCGATTCTCTCTTGAATACCTTCCTCGCGCCCGTCTCAATTTTTTCCCCCTCGTATTGAATTATGAAAAAATGGATTGTTAATTGTATCTTTTTATTTATTGCACGTATATACTCTTCCTTTTTTCCATAATTTATCCACGATTCTCGAAATTCATAAAGAATAAGATATGTATATCTAAAAAAAAATCACAGCTTACTTAAATACATTGTAAGGACAACGCACGCAATTTCATTAATGCGGCATTTCAATAAAGCCACGCGAAGGAATGGAACCGAGACGAACATAAATACTCTTCGCGGAAACATTGCCAAAATATTTTCACCCGGCTAAAGGCGACTCCCGGTCCCCTCTCGAAAATAGGGGTGTTAGGGGAAACTATATACGGCGAGTATACGCACAGTGTCCGGGTTTCTCCTCCGCGCGGGGAATCCCGTATCTCGACTTCATATTTCGTGGTCACCCTCCTGTGTGAGAATCCACGACGGTGGATCGCGTCCGTCTCTGACCGCGGATTACGAAGCACAGCATAGAGAAAAAAAAGGAAACAGAGAGAGAAAGAGAAAGAAAGGGAAAATATGAAATATAAATAAAACATATTCTTAACCGGCGGCAAGTGCAATAAAAATGCGGGGAGATCAAGAGGGATGCCCGAGGAATACGAAATGGGATCTCTTTCCTCCCCGGGATCCCCCCGCTCGTTCACCCGCTCGCTCCTTTTCGCTCGGACCCGTCCTTTCTATCGTTCTCTCCCCCCTTGCCTTCTTCCCTTCCGCCGCGCCGTTCTCGCTACCGCGCCCATATTCGTATAGCTGCACGACCGTGAAGCCGCGGAGCAGCGGTGATTGCCGGACAGAAGCTGAAATATGCCCTTATTTCGGGACGGGCCGCTTCCCTGTATTTACGATGGCACAATGGGCCCATCTCTCATCCGCGGCGCGGCTCCCGTGCCGACGTTTCATCCCCCGTGCCCGCCGCCGCGCCCTCCGCGTCGTTCTTTCGGGGACACTTTTCGTAATGCGCATAATTTGTCCTCGCATATAGCGCCAGCTCAAATTTGCGAAAGAAATCCGTCACAGTCGGCGCGGACGACAGAACTGCCGTAATATCAAGAGAGTCTGTAAACTCTAATTTTTAACGTTAAACTAATGTTTATTTACGACATCCGTTTATATAATATACAAAAGATACTCTCTTTATTCGAGAAGTAAACTGCCTGAGAAATTATTGCATTGATCAATAATGAATATATGAGATCTGAAAATTCCGCGTTTTCAGCGTATTTACTTTTTTTATGAAAGATAATTACTCAGCCTTAGGTTTAGTATCGTTTTCGTCCTTCTTGCTAAAATCAGCTTCTTCAAGTATCTTGAATCTCTCGGTTAAGAGTCTCGAAAATAAATCCGCGTTTTGAGAAGCGTGTTGTCGAAGTGCGCGAGCGTCGACAACGCGTCTTCTGTCGCGATGACGCTGCATCCGCTGACACGGACGCGTGTAATCGCGGAGCGAACGTCCCGAGGGTACGGCAAACAAGACAATAAACCGAATAAACGGCTGTCCGAACTTAATTAAAGGAGTGGCTGGTGCAGCCACGCGAATCGCGCCGTCATTTCTTCGCCGAGCTTTATCGGCGTGCGCTTATCTATCAGCGGCGCGATAAGATAAGAAGGAGCTGCCCGAAGGGAGTTAGGATAGTCATCTCTTGGACGAACACCAAACTTCTGCAATCCCTCGTTTTCCGCGCGGGGGTGGACGAATCACGTGTAGCGATGGGGAGAAACCGATGTCCCTCATCCGATCAGAACTTGTATACTTTTGTATCATTGTTACGAGGGTTGATCCGTTGCATTTCCATAATTCCGTCATAGTCTTGTCCCTATAAATATAGTATCTTTGACCATACAAATATTTTTCTTTAACATAATCGAATGACAGAAATGTATTACATCATGATTCGAGATTTGCTTATCGGCAAGACTTTTCTTGAGATATCGTGATATAACGTGGATAATATAGCAGTGTTTTTTTTTGTATGTTGCGCGAGGGTATCGTGCCCATCGCTAGCCATATGCGACCGCCTCGTCCACTCCTAGAGTAGTAACTCTTCCACTTTCCCTACTTCGCTCGTGCTCTAGCCGTTTCTCTGTCCACCCTCTGTCTGGCCCCGCCGAGACCCTCCGCCGAGAGCACTCTCTTTCGTTATTTCTCCTTCCTCGTCTTCTTGCCTCGTCCACCGTATGAAACGGGTGAAAATAGACGCTAGGAGAGCAGCAGAGATGGAGGGTCAAATTGAGTACGCCCGTGTCCAGGAACAAGACCGAAACTAAAATAAAAGAATCATGCTGGCTGGGGCACGGCGACGACGAAACTGTCCGCTCGCGCGGGAACAGCGAGGATATTTTGTCCGAAGCGCCGGGGACGCGGCGATTCCGCAGACTCGAATCATCCAAAGGTGGCTTCAAAAGTTCTGACATTTTTTTTATTGCCCCGAGATTTTATTGCAAGCCTAACCTACCGTGGTGTTTGTTGAAAATTCGAACAAATCTGTAAATAGGAATCATTTTCAGGAAAATTCTCTGACTTTTGAAAGATTTAATTTAATTTACTAATACGATGAAGCTTTTATCCTTTAATTATAATTGTAATAATAAACATGATACGTTTTCGCTTCTATATATTATACTTATATACATGTGAAGAAATATTTTCTTGAACAAAGCCAATGAACAATATTTAATTATAAACGAAAATTTCTTTTGAAAAATTAGGGGTTATATGTGATATTGTCAGAAGGCATCGCATAAAAGTTAGGTTTGACGAACCGCGAAG